CATCAAAAATAAATTTCAACTCTGATGATTACATAAGCATAAGCAGAAACAACCTAAACCTTTTTTGAGACTAAATCCTTGTAAGGTTCATCCTGTCTCTGATGCTGGGATACTTGTTGAAGACCCTGTTCCCCCCACTGCTGTGCAATTTATCAGAAGAAGATATTAAATTTCTTCTTTATCATACTCACTATACTGAGTCATCTTCATTCTTCAGCTCTTCTCTGATAATTTTTTTTCTTATGACAGAAGTTGCTACTCTATATAACCTTCTATTCCCTGTGAATTTTTTGTTCCAATGAATTTGGCCTAAATCCGAAGGACACTTCTTATGTACAAGCCCCAGTACATATTCATTTATGCCTGAAATATTTATTGAGTACCTGTTGTGTTCCAGGCACTATTCTGGAAGCTGGGGACATAGCCATGAACAAGAGCTCATTGTGACTATTGTTTACTCCAGAAATTTCCAAAGAAAAAATGATAATAATAATTGTGTGTTGGCCCTGTGCTAGCGGGTTGCTTCTTCCTTTTGGCATCAACATTAGGTTGCATTAAATGAGAAAAGAATTGGATTTAGCACCTCCAGCATTTTCCACACCTATTTATAAAAACTTAACACTTTTTCAACCAAAACTTGTGGTTTTCCTCAGAGTCCTTAAAAAATGTTGTACAAGGGGTATGACATGACCAAAGATTAATTTAGTAAATGGATAAAGGAGAGGAATAAGAAGACAGAGACAGGACACTCATCCAGCTATGACAATAAAGCAAGTATATGATGTTGATGGAATGAAGATGTGGATGGTGACAGTGGGTTGGAGAGGACAGGAGAGCTCCACCAGACATATTCAGGAAGATGCCACCTCCTTGACAGTAAACAGATCTGGTGTGGAGGTCAAAGGAAAGGGTGGTGATAAGATTCTGACCAAGAAACTGGGACAATGAAAATAGCATTATAGGCCGGGCTCGGTGGCTCAGTCTGTAATCCCAGCGCTTTGGGAGCCCGAGGTGAGTGGATTGCCTGAGCCCATGGGTTTGAGACATGCCTGGGCAACTTGGCGAGATCTCATCTCTACAATAAACCAAAAATTAGCCAGGCGTGGTGGCGCGTTCCTGTAGTTCCAGCTACTTGGATGACTGAGGTAGAAGGATTGCTGGAGCCCAGCAGGTCAAGCTGCGGTGGCCGGGAGCGTGCCACTGCATTCCAGTCTGGGCAGCGGAGTGAGGCTCCAACTCAAAAAAAAAAAAAAAGAAGAAGAAAGTAGCATTATAGGAAGTAGTGGGTTGGATAGGGAAACAAAGAGATGGTGAAATTGTTTTATGACATGTTTGATTGAGGTGATGGCAGGAAATTCAAATAAAAATAACCAAAGTTTGTTGAAGAACCTTTGAAACACCTGAATTTCTCTGATCAGTAATTCTATTATCTGTCATTTTATTTATTTTTTTGTTTACTTATTTTTATTATAAAGATGTGGGGTACAATTCAGGGTTAGGTACACAAACGTTGATTATGTAGGTACCCTTGTTGATGAGGTATACCCCTCCCTCCCCAGCAGTTTCCCTCAAATGCCAATCCCACCCCCTCCCCTGATAGTTTCTCACTACTACCAATCCCTCTCTTATAGCATTATAATTGTTCAAGGTCTGCTTATGAGTGAGAACATATGGTACTCTGTTCTTTGTTTCTGTAATAGATCACTGAGTATGATGGACTCTAAATCCATCCAAGTTGCTGTGAAGTCCATATGTTTGTCCTCCTTTATGGTTGCATAATATTCCGTTGTATATATGTACCACATTTTTTTTACCCAGTCCAGCTTCGATATCCAGCATGATTGGTTCCATGTCTTTGCTATTGTGAATAGAGCTGCAACAAACATACGTGTGCAGGTATCTTTTTTGTAGAATGACTTGAGTTCCTCTGGGTATATTCCCAATAGAGGAATTGCAGGGTCATATGGAAGGTCAATTTCTAGTTCTTTCAGAAATCGCCACACTGTCTTCCAAAGAGGCTGCACTAGTTTGCACTCCCTACCGGCAGTGTAGAAGCATTCCTTTTTCTCCGCATTCTTGCCAGCATCTGTTGTTGTTTCTTTTATTAATGATGGCCATTCTTACTGCTGTTAGGTGGTATCTCAACGTGGTTTTGATTTGCATTTCTCTGATGATTAGTGAGCACTTTTTCATGTGTCTGTTGGCTGCCCGTATATCTTCTTTTGAGAAGTGTCTATTCATGTCTTTTGCCCACTTTTTAATGGGGCTGTTTGTTTTTTTCCTTTCGGCGTGTTTGAGTTGCTTATAGATCCAAGATGTTAAGCCTTTGTCAGATATCCCATTGGCAAATATTTTTTCCCATTCTGTGGGCTGTCTTCCTGCTCTCTTGATGGTTTCTTTTGCTTTGCAGAAGCTCATTAGTTTGATGAGGTCCCACTTGTCTGTCTTATTTCTTAAGGTGTGGGCAGGTAGGGTTCTGATCGGGAATTGGTTGATGATGTGATCGTATACCTTGAAAATTCAAGAGAATCTGTCAAAAACCTGCTTGCACTGATAAAAGACTTTGGCAAAGTCTCAGAGTACAAAATAAATGTGCAAAAGATAGTTGCATTCCTATATACCAACAAGCAGGCAGAGACCCAAATCCCAGTCACAATAGCCACACACAAAAAAATGAAATACCTTGGCATCTTCCTAATCAGAGACATGAAAGACCTTTACAATGAGAACTACAAAACACTGCTCAAAGAAATCCAAGAAGACACAAACAAATGGAAAAATATTCTCTGCTCGTGGATAGGAAGAATCAACATTGTTAAAATGTCCATCCTACCAAAGGCAATCTACATTAAATTGCCAACATCATTCTTCTCATACCTGGAAATGACAATACAGAAATTCATATGGAAACATAAACAACCATGAAACAAACCAATCCTTAGCAAAAGACACAAAGCAGGAGGTAGCACACTTCCAGACTTCAAACTTTACTATAAGGCTGCAATAATCAAAACAGCCTGGCATAGGTACAAGAACAGGCATATAGACCAATGGAACAGGATAGAGATTCTGGAAGCAAAGCCTCGATTTATCTGTCATTTTAAATGTTAATATTATTTGAAGATTTCAGCATGTGAACTGACCACAAATTTGTAATGGATATTCAGGCAATTTTAATGAAGACTTTTTTTCCCCAGCTTGCTAAATTAGAATTTATTTTTGTTGTGATATGCTTTAATCTGTTGGCTGAAAGTTTTACAGTGATAGTAGTAAAATCGCCTGTAAAAATACACACTCATTTAGTACTGTCTTTTTTCCATTATATCTAAATTTGCTTTTCTTTACAAAAAAAAGTATTGCTCATAATAACTTCATGAATGTTGTTTACCTGTGTATTTATAATTTATAATCAGATACAATCAAATTTTAAAATTTTACTTAAATGTCACCTGATAATTATTTTCAACACAGTCATATTGTTTTTATTTTTCTTTTTAAAAACTACTTAATACATAACAGCCCCACACTTAAGAGTTGGCAATGTTATACCTACTTAAAATGAAGTCGGAGCATTTTGTTAATTAACAAGTAGTAAATGGTGGCTATTTGAGGGGTCTTGAATCCATGACAAGTAACTGACTCCCCACTTCTTTTTAGGTACACAAACGTAGTTTCCCACTACTAAAATCAGCCCATTATATAACTGTTATTCAGAGACTGATGTAATCAACTAAAAGGATCTATGTTTATTTTATAGTCCACATTTTGGTTATTTAATTGTTCTAAAATGGCAACAGCAAATATCTGCCTCACTTATGTAGAAATGTAGGAGGACAACTTTTATAGTTTCTGGAGAGATATTTTGAATTCATTAGAAGAAAGATGCTGAACAAATATTAGGTGGTACTATTATTCTTATTAAGCACTTTAGAATTTAAGGCTATCATTTATTTTAAATTATTCTTGATTGTTTTAATCCTATAGAAGTGAAAAGGCATGTGTGGAAGTATCCTCTCTTCTGTTTTCCTGTCTCTAATTCTTTATAACAATAAATAACTTTTATGTTTTCCTGTGTTCTCTGTGACATTGATAAGGTCACAAAATATTACACAGAAATCAGAGCTACAGAAAGAAAAGATAGTAAAGAAATTCAAAGGAAAACTAATAGTCAAAAGAAAAACATTCATAGGATATAGAAATCTGGAAATGACAAAAATGAAAAAGACATTAGGGTGGCAGTTCAGATAAAATTAGAAAGATCTTGGCTGGGCCCAGTGGCTCACACCCATAGTACTCGTACTTTGAGAGGCCGAGGTGGGAGGATTGCTTGAATCTGGGAGTTCAAGATCAGCCTAGGCAACATAGTGAGACCCTGTCTCTACTAAAAATTAAAATAAAGGTCTTGCGTGGTGTGCTGCTCTCCCCAAAATCACCCATGTAATTTCCAGATGTGTGTGAGGAGGTACTGTCCCAGGTGAAAGGTAAGGAAAATAGAAATGTTTGAAAACAGCCCAGGTTACAGATCACTGATGTCTTCTGACTGCCTGCAAATCAGCACAGCTTTCTTTGGCTGGCACATGGCTTACAGTAAACTCTTTGCCAGACTGGGTTCTACCCAGGGCTGCCTTTGGGTAAGTACTGCTGCTAAGACTAGAAAGATTTCAGCCCCATCTGAATGTGCTCCCTGGGTTCCACATGGTCATTGAGAATTCAAGCATTCAGTGAGAAGTCACTGTGAGCCAGACATTGCTCCAGGTCCTGGGGATACAGCAGTGACAGGCAACAGATACAGGTCCCATACAGAGCTTGCATTCTAGTCAAGAAAACTGACAATAAACAAGACAAATGAGAAAGTATATAGGAAGGTGGGCATTTATTGTGTCTCCCGTGCTAGAATGTAAGCTCTATGTAGGGAAAATTTAAAGCAGCAAGGGGACATGAAGTGTGTGTGTGCAGGAGGGGGTATGAACCTTTAAGCCTACTTTACCCATCCTCTAAAGTATATGGTAACCATGAGGCAGAGTCACCAGCGAATGATGAAGGTTGTTCCACTATTCCTGAAGCCTGACATTTGCACAGCATTCTGGGACTCACAGACAACATTGCTTATTCCAGAGGAGTCTTGCTGTCTCACCTGAAGGGGATCTTGACTTGCTTCTGATCACCTAGCACTGGAGAGAAAGCTTTACCCATGGCTGATGTTTCTGCTACGTGCTGTTAAAGGAAAGATCTGCCCTAGATTCACGAAAACGATGTTGTCTAGAGGCCTGATGCCTGTCTGCATATTTTCTCCCAAAATTTGTGTCCATCGCTTTGTTCCTTGCACCTACCATGGCTTAGACTGGAATTTCTTTGTTATTTCAGCTTGCTTAGAACACTTGTTATAAATCTGGGCATCTCAAATTAGAAAGATAACAGTATACAGTAAATTTTTTTTAAAAAGAAGGAAAAGAAAAAAAACCATCTAGTAGATATCTTCTAGATTAAGAATTAATCTTAAGTCATTCTTCTACTTAGAGGGTCTTTCTTGGTTTTGGATGTCAAGAGGCAGACCATTGGTAACATGAACCTAATTGTTAAGCTCTGTTTCCTCACCAGAATGTGCAGTAGAAAGTTAGCAATTACAAGGTGAATTTGAATTGTAGACAACCTGCTAATGTAACCCTAATTTTCCTTTGTTTAAATATCTAGATTGACTGTTTACATTGACTGAACTTACTGAATATTTGCTAAATAGTCACTTCACTTTGTTGCTGAAAATACCTCTTGAGGAAATGACACTAAGGAGTTATATCTCTTCTTTGTTAGTGAATAATCACTTCCTTCTAAAGATAGCGATGAAAAATCAACAGTAATTGCCTCTAGAATGTGGTGTCATTCAGAATGTGAAGACAAGTTGAGTTGTCTAATATGTTTTTAGACACAGCTCAAATTAATTAGGTAATTGAAAATCTATACTTTGCCTTGTAAACAAACCTTAAAATTCAAGGCATATTAGCATATATGATACTGTACCACTTTTGACTACACGTTCTACACAAGAATTATAGCATTCTTCTTTCCATTCAAAAGATATATATTATAATCCTTTAAGTGATATTTTCATAATTAAATAGCACTTTCAGATAGTTTTGTTCATTACTGTAAAATTGGCCTTGTAGCTTTTATTTATCAGTTTCCTTATTAATTGTTATAGCTACCTTATAATTACTACTTCATTTAAGGGATGACTCTTATTAAAGTTGACCACCAGGAATTCAGTATTTTCAGTTAATCATACATTATAAATAGCTGAAATCAGGGACTCGGGAAATATTAAATAATCATGCACTACATCTAAATATAAGATCTTTATTCATACAGATAACATATATGTATATATTTATATATAATCATTTCCCCTATTATATATATTTAATCAGGACCAATATTATCCTGTGATTTTGACTCTTTCCATTTTCCAGTAATCACAGTGAATATGAGTAGTCTCACTCCAAAAAATCTCACTTAAAAAAATTTAAAAATAGCCACCATGTTTTTTACAGCTTTCTGAACCAATTTGTGAAAAATCCTTCGAAGAATTTGGCAGTAAAGGTGGCAACTCTCCTTTTCCTGAGCTAAACTCTTCTCTTTAAAGATAAAATTTTAAACTAATTATTTTTGGAATGCTTTTAGATAAATAACTGAATAATAAGAATTTGTATTTGTACCTTAAAATTATAAGTTATGAGATAATATGGAAGAACAATTACCTTTACTGCCCCCGTAGTAGTGTCTTACAGCCCCCTTAGTGCTATGTCCGTAATTGTTGGAAGAGCAAGTTGGGGATCAGTGGTACCGAAGACAGATATTTTCATTCTTTTAACCATATGCAGAGTTCTGCTCTCCCTTCCCATGGCTGTCTTGACTTTACTCATCCTCTGTTTCCCCTCTGCTTTGTCAGGTCTGTCTGGGTCACTGTTCTTTTTGGGTCTTTCTGTGTGTGTTTGTTGGCACTGACTCTCTTCTGGTTGAGTCTCTTCTGGTTGTATGAATAAAGATCTTATTCTATGTCTGACTCTGTTCTTACAGTTTTTGTCTGTAGTGTCTCCCTGGCTTCCAGTCTCCCCCACCTAATGACGCTTTGTCCTGTCAGTCGAGGGATTCACATGCCTCCAGCCCACATGTCTTTGTCTCCCCTACCTGACTGTGGTTTGCCTGGGTCTACTTGTCCTTTACTTACCTTTGACATGGACTCTGTGCCTCCTTCAAGCAACAAGGTTGCACTGTCTTCTCTCGTCCATGCATTCCCTTTCTGCCCCCAGGTATACCCTCTCAGCCTGCTCTGTCTTGTCACAGACAGACTAACAAAACAGTAAGTCACCAGTGACAAATCTGTCTGCTGGCCAAAATACTCCCAAACATGCCTCTTAAGAGAAACTGCATTGCTTTCTAGAGGTGATTTGAAACATCTAAACGAATATTCTTTGGAACTAAAATGAACATTCAGAGTGAACATTAGGCAGTCTACGTAGGCAAAATTTATTTATATAATCTCAAGATGTTCAGCACTTTAAAAGCAGCAGTGTAATTTTTAAAGTTCTTACTTTGTCATATTTCTTAAAATATAGTGATTTTCTAAAGGAAAATAGTTACATTTAATGATAAATTCTGAAAGATAATTTGGATTAATGACTTGTTTGTAGGTGTAAAACTTGATTTAACTGATATTTGAGGTCTCAATATTTTTTGAGACTTTGTACTAGTATTTCTGTCCATAGTGTCTATTAATAAACCCTTCTGCCAGACATACCTGACCCCAACTATTCAATGTGTTGTACCAATAAATGGAGAAATCATATATCAGCTAGTTTGTAAATGTTTTGCATAACTATATGGCACAGCCCTTGAAAAATTCAATTTTATTACATAATTTCTTAATTTCTTAGATGCCGTGGAAGTGACTTGCTAAAAACTTGGTTAAAAAAATACACCTCATTTTAAGCTTTTTAAAGTATATCTAACCCTTAACTGTATCCCACAACATCATAATAAAAAATATTAAAAATAAAAAAATAAATGAGATTTGTGAGTGATTTGTATAAATGAGACTTTTTAAAGAAACCATCAATTAAAATTTTTTAATAACCTAAAATCAATATTGGCATGAAGATTCTCTTGTTATTAGGTAATGTTTTGGAAGTTTTAAGAAAGTAAAGCAAAAATGTTCCAAGTTTTACTTTTATTTACTTCTAATAAATTGTCTTAAAGTAAATTCAGTCTCCTTTCCATTTTAATTTATATGGCATCATAGCTAGACCTCTCCTGCTTAGTTTTCAGAGGGAAAGTGGTTCAATTTAAAATAAGACATTTTTAAATTTAAGGCCACTAGTGTAAGTGATTAAATATAACCAATTTTGGGAACACTGGTATATGTGAAATTAGAGATGCTCAGTTTGTATTTTAGAACAACAGGTATAGTCTTCCATAACCATTATAGTTTAGATTTTCTTTTGAAGGAATAATCACTCAGAGTTATTTGTCTTTGCTTTTCTTTATAAACAATAACAAGTATATAAAATCAATATAAGCAGCAATCCTTATGTCTTAGAAAGTCCAAATTTAATTATTTTACCAATTAATTAATTATCTTAATTCATTTGTTCTCCCTAAAATGAGAGCCTAATTCCATGTCTTACTCCTAATTTGAGTTATTCTTGGTTCTCTTGAGGCAAGAAACTATACATATTTATTCTTGAATTCCAGAAACGTTTATTGAGTGCCTAATTAGGCACTAGTCTTTATACCTTTAGTCTAGAGGCTAAGGGTATAAAGAGTATTAGACATGACTTCTGTCCCTCAAGGAGCTCAGTCTACTAGAAAGAAGTCTTGTGCTTATTGAAAAGTTTCTCTTTGCTTCTAGTCAGAAGATAATCCTTGAAATGGATGGTTGGGTTGGGAATGGGGAAAGTAAAGGACTTATGAACTTCTTCTGAATCCAAGAGTAACTCTTAGTTCACCAACATTCTTTTTCATTAAATGATACTCTTATGCTATCTAAGAGTTAGTTCATCTTCTAAAAGTATCCACCATCCCTCCATAGTATTGTGAGAACCTAACTTTTTTACTCTAGACAAACATTCCAAATGAATATATGTTACTTGCCATCTCAAATCCATTATTGGCAGTAAGATCAGCGTTTATTAGAAAGATCTTTGGATTTTTTTCATGACTGTAGGAAATTTGCATTATTCCAAATATGTGGAGAATTAATTTTGTGTGGCCAGATAAATATCCACAGTCACACTGTTTGTAAAATGGGGTGAGAGTAGTACCTTCTCACTGAGGTATATGGAGAATTAAGAAAAATAATCTATTCAGAACTCCAAAAATAGTACCTGGCATATAGTAAGGGCTTCATAATCACAAGCAGGCCTCATTTTGCACAGTTCTGATATACACAAATTTTTGTTACCATAGTTTAGTTAAATGACACCAATCCCCCAGAAAACACAGTTCAAATTTCAGTTACCGCAGTATAATTAGCTGTGAGTAACTGCATTAAGTGCAAAGTTTGCCACTAACCCTTCAGTCCACAGATCTCAATGTGGATAACAGACACATTATGATCAGCGGCCAATCATGTCACTTCTTTAAAAATCTGTCACTGATTGGTCATTTCATATCTGTTTCCAGTTTGTGCACAGATAACATTGTCTCACATTATACAAAAATGAATGATCAAAAGAGAAACTAGACCAACAAAGATGACAGTGCAACAGAGAAATGAAAGCTGGAAATGAAATTGGAACTTGTTTATGACAAAAAAGGATGAAGATGTCCCAGAGGAAGTGACATTGGCAAAACAACAAAGCAAAACAACAACAACAACAAAAAAAACCTTCACATTAAATGAACTCTCTGAGCTATTTCACAACATTGAAAGTGCAGAGGATAAAATATTGAAAGCTGATTCCAAGTTAGGAGTGTGATATTTTGCCCAGGCATAGAAAAACCATGCTTGAACCATATCATAAGTTATATGGCGAGAAGAAGGCAAGCACTGATCAATCTACTTTAAATAAATGT